AATTTCTCCTTGGCAGTCTTTTCGGCATCAGCAGAGGTTCCCTTCGCGGCCGCTAGTTCCGACAATGATGCCTCAGACTCAGCCTTGTCTGCTGCTGCGGCATCCTTGGAAGATTTGCTCTGGCTCTCAGCCGCATCTTTGGAGTCGGCGGCAGCCTTGGAGTCGCTCTTGGCCGCCGGGGTGCTTTCCTTGGGCAGGGGCTTCTTAGCCGCTTCAACATTGAAGCCCGGCGGCGGGCCAGACTGGCCGTGGTTGTGGTGGTCGGTACCCAGATGACGGGCGGGTACGAGGAGGGCGAGGGCGTTTACTCGTCGAGGAAGATGTCTTGCGTTTCGGCCGAGCACAGCTGACGAAACACCGAGGCTAGACAGCGCACGCGCTGGAAGATGTTAGAGAAGAACTGCAGGTATGTCCAGCACAAGAAAAGACGGTCCATGGAGATGGGTGAGCGGGCAGGAAGCATACGCAGGGGATGGACTTACCATTGCCCAGGAGAGGGTTGACAATCGCCGCCCGACGAGCGACACTGGCGGAGGCGCTCATTCTGCAGCGGTTGACTGGTAAACAGGGGAGTTTGATGAAGTTGTGGTGAATAAAGAGCGGACTACCGAAGAATAGCGATCATGGGCGACTATCTGAAGGTGGGCAGTATACTACAACTAAAGACAATGATGGAGAAGTGGAAGATGTACAATGATGCGAAACTACTCAAGATTTCTGGAATGGAGGGCAACCGATCGCATCAAATGGAATGCTACCACGACTTGTCCCTGGCTTCCGAAACCACCCATGGCCGGGGGGTGCCCAGAGACCACCAGAAACAGCACGTGCGAGATCACGGGATTTTGCCTCCTTTGCTTTGCTCGGGGTTTCGCTTGCAGACAATGAAAGGCGGGCTGGCCGCTGGCCGCTGGAGATGCTGAGCAAGCACCACTGCACCACCTCAGATCCCGGTTCACCTCACTTTGTCCGCAGGTACGTACCTGGGCGTGCTGGGCTGAGCCTGTGCCACTTGTCATTTCTGGGCTGGGCTTGTGTGCTTGTCTGGCTTCGACCACTGTTTGTGTTGTTTTCCACCCGCTCATTCGCTCGCCTGCCACCATCGCCACATGGGTAAGCCATAGACGACGGTCGTCTCCTGTAGATCGGTGGGTCATCCTGGCCTTAGCTATCAGAAGCTTGACTTTCTGGGCTGTTGGGCTGTGCGAATCACGCCCTTCACCCGTGTGGGTGTTAGTGGACAGTAACCGGCAACTAGTTACCGGGCAGTGCCATCATGAGGAACTGAATGGGCTGAACCTGGCCATTCGGTATTGTTGCTGGAACTTGAACTTCCTACAAGTTAATACGTGGGCTTCTCAGATGATGCCGTTTGGCAATGTGGAGGAGGCAGATCGGCGGTATCGGCAGTGCCGTCCGCAGTGGCCAACCAGCCTGCCAACATCTGGCAACTTGGCATACTGTTCGTTGTTTGCACAGAGGCCTAGAACGACTGCCATAATCAGAGTACGGAGTAGTTGAGAAGGTCTTTGCAATACGGAGTATACGGAGAAAATATGGTGAGATTTACTTTGATCCCATGATATCGCCATCACCAAGCTTCATCCATCACTAGTTGGTGGCTTTCTCTCACCATGAGAATTCGTGGCACATAACACTGAGCAAACAGGTAAGCAGGTGGGTGATCACTGATGGACATTACAAGTGCGGCATCGGAATGTCATGTGTAGACTGTGACGGTGGTGTTGCTGATAACAAGCCGTAAGACGCCCTCAACAATATCCGTATGCTCCCTGGTTTTTCTACCGACTCCGCTCGACATTTTTTTGGTGGGAAATCACAAGCTCGTCATTCGAGGTCCCCCCTCAAGTGCTGACTTTGCGTGCCAGCTGGCACCAGGCCACGACTTCCGTGCACGCTATCTTATCTCAATATCGTCACCAAGGGCAGCAACGAGACTCGGAGACACTGTGCCCTGCCTGCCTTAGCGTACCCCGGACTTTAGAGCTTGAGACCGGCCGACCAGTCGAGGCAATGGAAAGTTGGAACAGCAGCTCAGCACCAGCTAAGGGTCCAGCAGCATCTGCCAACCTAATGGGGGTGAAGTTGTGAATCCCGACCCACCCCGAGGAGCCAGCAGTCTACGGATACCTTTAGTCGAGCCAGTGACGGTTCACCGGTGGAGGATTGGTACCAGCAAGTACGCTGCCAATCTCTCTACAAGCAGTGGAGGGTCTTTGGAGCAGAGAGATCCGGCCGTCGGCCACACACGCAAACTCGACACACGTTCCTCCCTCGGGTCCCCTCAACGCCCATCCGTCACATCGACCGATTTCCAAGCATCCCCGTCCGAGGTGCGCGCCAGCACCCCCGTCGCTGCACTTGCCTGCATCCCACCACCGCGGTTCTGCGTCCGCCCGCTGTTCTCCACCCTCCTTCTCGGCATTCCTTCACCACCACCTCGACCTTTGCGCTTCCTCTCGTTTCTTTTCCTCCCTCTTCTTTCTCCCCTCCCTAGATTGTCGCTACATCCCAACGTCCGTCTTCCTGTAAAGATCATGGCTTTCTCCTGAATCCCCTCCGAACACGATCCCGTCTGGGTCTCGCGATTCCGACTCGTTCCTTTTCCCCCGCACAATTTGGGGCCAGCGCCATCTCATTCCCGCCAATTTCGAAGCTACATACGGAGTAGTATCTATATTTCGAACCGACCCCTCCGTCACTCTCAATTCAATCCTACACCTGCGCCAACCGTTCATTGACTCGTGTATACTATGAGACTCCGCAAAGCTGCCCGCGTTATTCTCGTCGGCGCCCCCGGTGTTGGAAAAGGAACGCAGTCCGAACGACTCCTTCAACGGTTTCCCCAGATCCAGTCCATTAGCACCGGAGACCTGCTTCGCAACAATGTCAAGCACCGGACCCCTCTCGGTAAGTGTCACATGCTGCTGCTGCTGCTGTCCACCAGCGCTTGCTCTACACGTCCTCCCGCACATGCTAACCTCTCCTTCTTGCAGGTATCAAGGTCGAGAAAACCATGAAGTCCGGCGGACTTGTCGCTGATGATTTGATCATGCGCCTCATCTCGAACGAGATGTACAAGAACGGCTGGCTTCTCAACAGCCGCAGGAGACCGCAGGTCATGACCTTGTCATCTTCCGCCGCCACGGTCGATTCGTTTTACGAGGAGCAGCTGGATGACTTTGTCACGGCTACCGGAGCTCTAGACAGCCATGGGCCCCCCGAGGCATCCGAAGACCCCGACGCATCTTTCATCCTGGACGGTTTTCCAAGGACTGCCACCCAGGCGGCGGTTTGCGACAAGTTGATTCCCATTAACTTGGTGGTGTCGCTCAAGACCCCTTTCAACGTCATCATGGAGCGCATCTCCGGCCGCTGGGTTCACGAGCCCTCGGGTCGCGTGTACAACACATCCTTCAACGCCCCCATGATTCCCGGCAAGGACGACGTCACCGGAGAGCCCCTCACCCAGCGCCCGGATGACACCGAGGCGGTGTACAAGGAGCGCTTCCGCAAGTTTCAGGAGACTAGCGAGCCTCTCCTCGAACACTACAATAAGAAGGGCGTTCTCTGGGAGGTTGAGGGCATGAGCAGTGACGAAATCAGTCCCCTGCTCTTCGACGAGTTCGAGAAGCGCTTCGTTCATTGATTTGAATTCATCTTTGTTATATCTACAGGAGTTATACGTGGTCAAGATACCTCGGGCTGGCCAGAAAGACCCATGGCTAAAAACGGGCAGGTCGGACGGACGGGAACAACCCTCCATGGCGGATGCAGCGGAAACAATCTGCAGCTTGAATGTCGATAGTTATCATGAGTATTTTTATCAATGTACAAATATTTCATTTCTTCCACATCTACTTGCTGCACTTTCACCTGAATTCAATGTGAACACGACTTACAATGTGCTCAAACAAGATCACAGCTAGGCGCGTAATGCTAACCCGCCAAAAATGTTGTACGTAACTCTAAACGAGTTGTTCGAGACGTCCCTCAAGTTCAAGCAACTAAAACCGCAGCCGGTTGCGACTCCTGGCCTCTGCTCTTCTTGGTCTGACGACCATCTGAATTTCGGATTCCGAGTAAGGGCAATCCGTAAGTGCTCTGGAGAGAGAAGGACCTCTTGCATGAATGATGTGCACACTACTCCGTAGACCTCGGGTAGTATTCTGGAGATGCTGTAACGTGTGCCGCGGGGTAAGATAGCCATCGGGCGGCAAGGGTGCCTTGCTGTCATCCAAACAAGCACTCATGCAAGCCTCTGCCCAGGACTCGCTGCGACGCCATGAGTGAACGTGGCAGGCTGTTGCAACATGCGGTTCGCCCTTTGGTCCGGCCCCCCCTCTCGTCTGTTCGGGTTTCCTTTCACTTTGCCCAACTAGAACTGCCCTCCCTTATTGAGCTGCCTCCGGGAAACCTTGCCGCCATCCGGCGCCGGGTGGTCCATATTTCTTCGGCGGGAAGAAAGGACAGAGAAGGAAGGCACTTGCCGGCTTGCGACTCCTGTGACGTACCGAGACGTACCCAAGGTCCGGCCCGGACTTAATGCAGGACCCACTGTCCGTCTCGGAGGAAAGCTGCGGGTTTCCGGGGCACACCGACCACCTAGCATGATTCAAGCCTTTGTTCCGTCAGACGACAGGTCTCATTGGTTTGCTAATGGTGCCAAGGCAGCCTTGATATCTTGTAGGTCTCTCAGATGCTGGTGCTTCTGCTGACTAGACGGCCGGACTTAAGGTGGAGGCTCTCACGGTTTGTCTCTTGTGAGAGCCTCGTCGAGAGTATAATGTCGTAGGACAGAGAAGCGAGTTTATAAATATGTCAAAGATGGCTTGAAGATGATGGGTCACAGTCCGGTGGAGTCTTCTTAACGCCTGTACCAGTCTCTTCGTTGTCCTCATTTCCCACATAGGCAACATAATTCCATTCGTACTCACACGAATAAGTTCCACCTCAATATCTAATCTCAGACGTTGACCATGTCTCACCCTCCTTCTCTTCCCCCTCTAGGCCACTACACCGAACTACACAAATACGAAAACCTCACCGGACCAGGTGACGCCCGCCCAACGGCCCTTCAGATTATCAAAGACCAAGGCCTCGTCGGTAAACTCCCGTCCAAAGTCGTCCTCGTGACGGGCGTCTCCTCAGGTCTGGGCATTGAAACGCTCAAAGCCCTCGCAGCAACCGGAGCAACCGTCTACGGCACGGCCCGAGATCTCTCAAAAGCCCGAACCGCTCTAGACGAGATCGGAAACGGGGATGGAGGCCAAGAGGGGTCCCTCGCTTCGGCGCCAAACGTACACCTCCTACAAATGGACCTCGCCAGCCTCGCCAGCGTACGAGCCGCGGCAGCGGCCTTCAAGAAGCGCAGCTTCAGACTAGATATCTTGATCAACAATGCCGGGGTGATGTATACCCTCAAAGGAAGCCAAACGGAAGACGGCTTCGAGATGCAGTTCGGCGTAAACCACCTCGCGCACTTCCTCCTCTTCACAGAACTACAAGACCTCATGACCTCTTCATCAACGCCCGGGTCCGCGGCGCGGGTCGTAAACGTCACGTCCTCCGGCCACAGGCTGCAGGGCATGAACTGGTCCGACGTCAACTTTTCCCGCCCCGGCGCGTACGAGGGGTACAGAGCCTACGGACAATCCAAGACGGCCAACATCCTCATGGCCAACGGCGTGGATCGGCGGTGCGGGGGCAGGATTCGCGGGTATAGCGTTCACCCGGGCACGGCGATGACGGGGCTACAGGTTGGTGTTCGGGAACAGATGGAGGCACTCGTAGGGGACGAAGCGGCGTGGAGGACGGTGAAGAGTACGGCGCAAGGGGCTGCTACGGTGGTGCTGGCTGCGGTGGGGAGGGAGTTTGAGGGGTTGGGACCGTTTTATTTTGAGGATTGTGAGGTGAAGGGGGAGGCGGGGGAGAATTTGGGGTGGGTGGGGGAGGGGTTTGCTTCGTGGGCTTGGGATCGGGGGGAGGAGGAGAGGTTGTGGGAGGTGAGCTTGGAGATGGTAGGGTTGTCGCGGGAAGAGAGGCAGTGACTGGTGAGAACGCAGAGAACGAGATGCAAAATCCAAGCTTGGCCCACAAGTAGTGTTCGTAAAGAGGCATGGATAGATGTAGGAGAGGCAAGAGAGGCTCAGTCGTCGGTGTTTGCATCGCCAGTATTCATTGCAATCCTCAATTCCTGTTTTTGAGCTTCTTTCTACATCTGAACTCGGAAACACTAAATCATGGTTTCGTAGCAGATGTCAATTAGTTAGATGCTTTAGCCAACATGTCATTAGTTCTAAGCCGGAGTCCTTGCTTTTTTTCAAAGATTAAAGAAGCCTCTGATCGAAATCTCATACTTCATAAAGTACCTTTCTGAGGCAACACGATATTTCTGGTAGGAATTTATCATGAGATGCTGCCAGCTTTAGAGACTTTGAAGGTCTATTGGAAGTCTTGAAGGTCTTTTAGAAACCTTGAAAGTCTGTGAACTATTTGGCTCACATGCATCACAAGGTAATATAGATAGGGACGCTCAAACGTTGCTTGACTTTGCAAAGCAGAGGCACGCCCACAGCTAAAAGAGCTTCTGCTGTATGTATGATTCAGCAAAATTACTCTGGAGTACCGCGATAAACAATGTTAACCAGAACTTATTACCACGAAGAATGTCATCAACTTGACCTCAGAGAAAGCTCAGTCTAATTCATATCAGTGCACTGGTGGTTGCGGATAGCTATCCCATCTTGGTAGCCATCTACTCGCACGTGACCGTCGTATCTTCGGGATTCATTTCGCGAGACAACCACGAGAGTCACCAACCAAAATCATCCCAGAATCCACAACAGCATCCATCTACATACCTCCCCCGGGAGGTCGGAACCGGGGCAAGGGGGAAACAAACGAAGAAAAAGCTCTTGCGACCTCGTGGCGGGACAGTCCGCTCTCTCCTCCTCCGCCCCGTCTGCCCCGTGGAGAAAAAAAGCAGGTCGGCACGTCGGTCGACTCGGCCCTATCCACGACGTCGAGAGGACCAAGTCCACAATGACCCCGAGATGACAGACCACTTTCCAGTTTGCATCCCGAGGGTCGGCTGCTCCGGGGTTTGGCCGATGTTAAGTCCTGTTGGCTTTTTTGGCGTTTTCTTCCGGTTTTGCTACTCTTTTTCGACACGTTTTCGACGGGCCCTCTTCTTGGCGGCTTTGTGTTTTTGCCATTTGCTATTCGTCTTTTGCCTTTCCTTACAAACAAAGCTGTCTCATTTCGCATCTTATGCCCTAATGGAATCGATCAGCGTCTGCCGGATACCACGTCGTCAGCCCTAGATAGCAGCCATAGCATGAAGACGAAGGGGATTTTGCGGGCGCAGAAGTGTCGAGCAGAAGTTCTCTCTCGAAGATTGAGACGGATTTGACTGGTGACTGGTTCGTCGTTCCCTTCAGCTTTCATTTGATTCATGTTCAACAGTCCAACCAGTGTCCAAACCAAATAAAACCAGACACCCAGAGAAGCAAGTGCAACCCCCCCCAACCCCCCCCCCCCCCCCACCTCCTCAGCAAGCGTGTGCGAAGGCGTGTGAGAGCGGCGGACCGGAAAGAGGTGCGTGGAGACTTTTTGGAGACAGTCCTCCACATTTCCCCCGAGTGGGAGCCCGGACGAACTCCCCTTTTCACGCAAGGCGGGAGGATGATCGATTTCATCCAACGGGGGTCATCGCTATCGCAACCCCCTGCAGAATGAGTCTTGCAGGCTCGCAGCTAAAGCAGACGCGCAGCGTGATCGTTGTCCATCGGTTCCAAATGCCGAAAGAAGGATTCCCAAGGAAGGACTCGAAGGAGGGCTGGGCGTCAGCCTTTGGTCTCTTTGCCAAGCAATGTTCTGCAAGTCTAGGCATCATTGTTGTTGCTTGCTGGTGCTGGTGTTGCTCTTTTCTTCTTCCACTTCTCTCTCTCGACTTTGCATACCGCCTCTGCTCCTCTTTGCAGGGCCGCGACAAGTTTCCAATCTCTGCGTCTTGAATCTTTGCAATGGTCCGAAGAGCAGCCGTGAAGCAGCGAAGCTTGCTGCGGGAATACGACGCAGCTCGGGTTTTCCCCAAGGGTTAAATTTGGATCTTTTTGCCGTCATGGCCCATGGGAAGCTTTTCAGTCCGACCTTTTCCCCGTTCCATGGTCACCCATGTCATTGGGTCCACTACTGTATCGGCTACAGCCACATCTTAAAATCAGCTTTTTGCTGCAAAGACAGAACAAAGGCCTTGGCCGTGACGCTGTCAGTCAGTGTGTTAGGCTCCGGTTCCCCCAGGCTCAGCTCGAGAGTAGCATTTTTGGACGTAGCATTCTATTCGTACTGTATCCCTACCCCGTACCGTAAGAAGTCTGAGTATCTGCGAAAGTGGGAGAGGTTAAGAAAGAGGCCCGAGACTCGAGGACAAGCGCCCGCTGCCCACCCGCCCCTGTCCGGGGAACGCCCGAGGCCTTCATCCCGGCTTTTTAACCAACTCCTTCCATATCATCCCCCTCCACGTCCCCATTGCAAGAGCTGAGCTGCCAGTACCCGCTCTTTGGCACTTTCCTCGGTCTAAAAAGCACAGTCAAGAAGGCAGGAAGGAACTTCCATTGGAGCGTTTATATCCAAGAGCAAAGCTTTGGGAACTTGGCAAGGACGGCCTTCTTTGAAGACTCCGCGACCCTGGGAAGAGTAGACGACCAACGACAGCACACCATCTCCAGACTCCACGTTGCATCCCCTTTTTCTTACGGATTCATTGCCTCCAGGGAACCCGGCTGCTACTCTTACGCCTGCGAAGACTACCGGCCCTCAATTCCTTGGCCCCCCCACGTATCTTTGCCTGACGGGCTCTTTTCCAATCCTGGGTTTTCCCATTTTCCGGCTGCCTCATCTACCTTAATCCAGGCTTATCCTTTTTCAATTTCGTTTCTGCCTACCTACAGGCGACGGATACACCAAAGTGACGGACCGCCGATCGAGAATCGACCTTCTCTCTGCCCTACCATAGCTCCTACACCCTTACTTTTTCCCCCGTCCCCAACGCCGCCTAGGAAGACGAAAGAAGGGCCTCGAGGACCTGCAGAGACGGGAAGTACCTCGAATCCTACACACGGGCCCCTGCATGCGCCAGCAACTGTGAGGTGCTTCTTTTGGTCGAACGGGAAGAAACAGCACAGGCACACGAGATACATCTAGAGGAACCCAGGAACGAGCGGTACCAAAGGACGATTTCTGCGTTATTCCCCCAATCTTTCAAACGTGTCCCCGCCGCCTGCCGCGCGGCGGGCCTGCAATGTCAAGATGGAGGAGGAGAAGCACAAGTTCATCATCCCGATCCACGAACGGCGACAACCCGGGACCGTGACCGTCGACCCGAATTCCGTACCATCACAACCGCAACACCAACAATCACCACCACTCCCAAGCCATGAGGCTCAATCGCCCATAGATTCCTCTCCCAGGATACAACAGATCGAGTCCTTCACATCCTACCCGCCAGGCGCCCACCTCCGAGGGGACGACATACCCGATGCCTCGCCGCCGTATCCAGAGTCGAGAATCAGCTCCGAGGCGCCTGTCGTCGCCCCGGCCCCGGCGCCCGCACGAGGACAAAGCCACCACCACCATCGCGTCCCGGCTCCAGCTCTGTCGCCTGCCGACCCCGAACGGCAACAGGGCGGCACTTTGGCGACATGGAGACAGAGGTTTGAGGGTATCGGCGGGAGGGGGCCACAGCAGCACCCGAGAAAGACAATCTTGGGCCTGACCGTGCTGCGATTCTGGGCCGCAGTCGCACTGGGAGTCATCATCGTCGGCGTCGCCATCGCCGTGGGTCTGGCGTTGGGTTTGGCTAACCGGTACGTCTGACGAAAGAGCTTACTATCCACCTACCTTACCTTTCCACCCATTCCTCCTGTCAACTCTTTGTCTCTCCTCCTCTTCCCCCGTCTTCGTCATGACAGCCTCGAAGGCTGACGGAAAGCGTCCTCCCTCTTTGCGAAATTCAGCCCCTCCGACGACGAAAACGAACCAAAAGCCGTAATCCAACTACTCGGCGTACCCTCGCCCGCCCCGATCAACCCGTACTGCCCGCAACCTACCGCGGGCGTGAACACGACGGTAACCCCCTACGACGCCTCCGGCTCTCCCATCCGCTTCAACAACGACGAGGTAATGTCTTTTGACGTCCTCTGCAACACGTACTACCCGATGCGCCAGGGGATCAACCCGTTCCTCCGCGACATCCTCGTCATGACCGTCCCGGACATGCTAACCTGTATGACGCTCTGCGCCCAGTACAACCAGGGCTATAGCGATGCCGTCGGCGACGACGTGTTTCTCGACGGCGGAGGCATCTGCGTCGGCGTTGCTCTCGTCAAGGGCACGGCGCAGTTCTGTCATTTGCAGAATGCCACGGGGATCAACCAGACTGCCTCGTCTGGTGGTTTCGATGTCGATAGCGCCGTGCTTTCGGGTGCTTGGGCCGGTTTGACAAGCGTGGAGCAGATTCGGACGTTTGGCGGGAACATTGACGATGTCATTGGCGCCAACGCGACTACGACTGCGGCTGCGACGGCCACCACCGGTTAATCACGCCAAGTTAGTCGATTTTCTCGGTCGACTCTAGGAGGAGTAATGTTCGTGTCGATATTTTCATTCTCGTGTAATGAAACGAGGGATTCCGGATTTTTGCGAAGCGATTTGGAGCGTTGGGTTTTGGAGCCTCCCTCACCGTCAGAAGTCGTCAATTCAGAGACAGCATATTTGGGTGCCCCTCAAATGGACCCCAGATTGCTTCAGCTCTAGTGTAATGACTATCTCGAGGGAGGTCACCTTTTTGTTCGATACAGCGCGCGACTCTGATATTGGCGAAGCGTTGTGTGTTGGGCTGTATTTGGAGCGTATCTGGAGAGGGAAGCACTGATTTTGGAGGAGTTTTTTTATTGGGAGCTCCCGAATCTGCGATATTTGATCTGCCAGATAGGAGGCGTCCGGAAGGCACAGCGAGCCTCTGGTTTCAGATCAGCGGCAGCTTGAGGAGAAGGCGTGTATGTCTACGATCAGGGCACACACTTGGATAAGCTCATTAGTAGTGTCCAGTAGTTTGGACCACTGTGTCTGGAACGCCGCAAATACACGCAGAGGCACCAGGTGCAGACTATAGATGATGCTGCCAGTACAAGAGACGATCGATGGGAACTGCATATATCATGAAAAAGTCACTGTGTATTGATTCTCTCGTAAAACGTACAACAATTTTCATACCCTCAAAAGAGAACCATGTCCAAAACTCCGCTTTGAAGACCATCTCTTTGTGGCATCATACGCTGTTTACTACAAATACTTCCGCTAGCACGACGTCTCATGTACTCGTTTCCTCGCGCCCATCCACTCCGCGTCAGAATGTCTTCTTTGAGGCGTAGGTGTCTGAAGCCGAGCCCTCACGGGACGCGGCTAGTCGAGGGACGTAGATATTCAGACCGCCAGGCTCGAGCAACGGGACAGGTATGTGACCCGAGGGCTAGTTGCGCCACTCAGAACCGTTGTCGATCCCGGCGGGTGTGCCATTGCTTCCAGACGCCTTGTTCGTATCGTCGTCGTCATCGTCGTCCAGCACACGGGCGAGCTCATCGGGATCCTGCATCTTGGCATCGGGGTCAATGACACCCTCCTCGAGCTCCTCATCCCGGCGCTGGTTGTCCCGTTCGGTATCCAGAACACCCTCATCTGCGCTGACTGAGATGCCACGGGCACCCCACTTGGGGCGGCCACCACCGCGGCGGCCCTGGCCATCGTCGTCGCCAAGAGCTGGGGCGCTCTCCTCGTCGTCAGAGTGGGCATCAATGCGCTTGCCAAAGATTCTGTTGAGCAACCAGCCCCTGCGCAGGTCGTCGGCATCAACAATGCCACCGTTGCGGAGCTTGACGCGCTGGCGAGTGTAGTATACCCAGGCAAAGTCGACATACAGGGCCGTCTGGATGATGCCGAAGATGACCGAGACCGTGTTCGGCGCCTTATCGTTGATGTCGAGCTCACGCGTGATCCATCCGATCAGGTATAATCCACGGTACGAGCCAAGGGTGACGAGGTAGAAGGAGTCGATGACGGTCGGGACGGTCGTCTGGCGGAGCAAGAGCAGCTGAGGCAGGACGCAGATGGATTCGAGGATCTGGCTAAAGTCCCAAAGCCACTGTCGGCAAACGTTAGCAGCTGTGTGGCCAGCTTGACCGGGTTCTGTGCGAGGTGAGACTTACAACGCGGAAGCTCCAGTAGCTCTCAAAGATAAGCATGGCAAAGGGAGACAAGACGAGCGAGACGCCGAAGACGCCGGCGCCGACCTTCCAGGAGAGCTCGCGCTCCCTAGTACGGGGGAAGATCCACTGCATGGCCCCGATGATGTAGAAGGACGACGAAATGTAAAATATCTTGAAGATAAAGTTCCATGCTGATTGTTCGGAGAAAATATCGAGGTAGCGCGTGCAGAAGACCAAGGCGTACAGGCCCTGGGTGATGAGGGAGACACCTGCGCAAACGTTATCAGTGACATGCATTCGTATTGGAAGCTCGGGTAGCGTACCTTCAGCACTCCTGTTGCGATGTATCGCGAACATGAGGATGCATTTCGAGAGGAGATGGGAGATGTCTCCCATGAAACGGAATACCTGGCCAAGCTAGTTAGCGGGCGGCCTCGGGAATCACGTATCTGGCTCGACGCGGCACGTACGTTCCACGCAGTCATGGTGCCAGATGGGAAGTCGAGCTTCCAGCGTATTCCGGTGTGTAGATGAGTTGTGATGTGGTTGGTGGGAGGGACTCGGGGAATGCGATTGCGACACGCAAACAAGAACGGACGGGAAAAGGAACGGCAGCTCCGTTTCACATCACACGAAGGCCGGCGAGCTGCCCACGGCAGTGGGGAGAGAATAGAATCGGATGAAGCTCCGTTGAAGAGGCCGGATCCGTCTGAAACGAAGCTCGGCGATGAGGAGGGCGAGAAGGTGTAACAAGCGACTGAAGCGAGCAGTCGAGGATTGAAGCTATTTCCAAAGTTGAAGTGCGGGAAGGTTACGGATACGAAGCTCGAGGTTCCCTCCTGCCAGTTTCCAGATTCAGCTCTTACGCCGCGCGGGCAGTCACGCAGTTGCGCCCCCCCAGCTGCACCTGCACCAGCTGGCCTTATCAGCTCGAGCCTGAGTCTTATCCGTGCTGGGGGAAGGTGACGACAGCCCCCAAGGCCCCCAGCCACGTTGTCCTGTCAGGAAGCGTTGCTATTGGCTCAAATGTCTCAGGGTCGCTTATGTAACCCCCACCTCAAGGGATAGCGCCATTGAAGAAAGGGTGGATATTGACCCAACATTACCTGCGCCGCTGCGCGTATTGCCATGGCCATGCCCAATTGAGAAATGCATCTTCAATGAGAGCGGGGAGCAAGAGCTAGGTAGAAGGTGCTCGTTGACCGAATTCGGCTGTCTATGACCCAAGAGTTGTTTTCATGATGAGTTGGATGGCCTTCCTCAGAACGCCTCGGTCGTCCTCAAACGTGAGCTTCTGAACAGCTTCGTCAAGACCAAAGAAGCTCGCACTAAACTGAGTCTCCCCGCCAGCCGTCTCTACCGCTGCTCCCTCCTCAAGAGTCGCAAGGTACCACCAAATCAGTTTCACTCTAGCCCCCCCATCGAGCTCTCGCATCGTCAGCATAAACGGCTCCGTGATTCCTCGACGCGCGGCTGCTTGATCGGGAGCATTCGCATCGTCATCCGGTTCCGGCGCCCGCGTGGCCATATCAACAGGCAGAAGTCGGCAGCGTAAGCCCGTCTCCTCCAACACCTCCCGCAAGGCTGCCTCCTGCCTCGACTCGCCGCAATTGCGTCTGCCCTTGGCCAGAAGCCATTCGTTTGTGGCCAGGTAACGGAGCAGGCAGACCCTTGCTGGGTCTTTGGACGAGTCGAAGAGGATTGCGCCGCAGCTTTCGACAAAGGCTTCAGAGGCGTACTGCCTGGTGACAAAGTTGGAGGCTGCCATTTTGTGCCTGCCTTACCCGCTGGCTTGGGTCGGTCTATATCGTAGCGCGAAGCGGAGTCCTCTTCCCGCAGAGTCGATCGACACAATCTAGCAGGATGGTGTTGTATTGCAGAGTCGTCAGTGCACAGGCTCGGCGCTGTTGTTTTTGGCGGGGATCCTTGTCTCGCTTGCTTCCGCGCCGGTCTACGGATATTCGTACAAAGTCTGGCTGGCCGTGCTTTCTTAGGCCGACCGGGTTGCGTAGCTGTTCACGGCGCTAGCCGTCAACGGATCGGCCGCGGAGGCCAAGATATCGAACTGGCGTGTCCAACAGCCATATCAGAAGCTACGATGATGAATCAGGGTAAGGTTGCTAACAGACAAGCAGACGACAATCGCATTTTCTCCACATTATTTGCTCTGTATGTCAGTGCCGCAACTTCGGTATGGCCCGACGTGAATTTGAGCATGAACTTCGATATTACCATCCTCTGCACTCGGTGCAACCGATGGCAGTTTTCTGAATACGACCAAGGTTATATCGTATCTCGGGAACTAGTGAGCCAGCCATCCTCTACTGACAAGCTTAATTTCTGGGGACTAGTATTTGGTACCATCATCTGTATCCAAGAGGATACCTTTGGTTGATATTCGCATGCAAATCAGTAGGCTCAACTCAAAGTCTGGAACAAGTTACTCCAAAATGATTCTCGAGCCTTGGCCAGAATTGTAGGATATGGATCGGCCACGACACTACCGAGATCCCACATATCACCTGTCGGTATGGAATGAAATGCAATGACCAGGCCACGCATCTCACCGCGTTGACTGGGACTCTGCAATCACAAACTGAGACGGACGGCTTCCGGCGCCGATGAGACAACAAACGCGGCCACCTGAGCGCAAAACAACAAGCCCCGTCCCGTCCTGTTCAAATTTCCAGCGGTCCCCTAAATGGGCCAAATGGGGACAAAGATCGAAGCCAAAAGGCAATCGGAGCGACATCCCCCTTGGGGCCCCTTGAGCCCCTTGAGCCTCATTAAAATTCCACAGCATTGCGCCGCGCGCAGCAAACAGTAATTAAGAAAGACGTCGTAAGCACATTGTTCACGCAGCGTGGGGTTTCCTCGGGATGTGGGCGGGCAACAACAATGCTGCATAGGCATGTTGCCCATTTTCCCATTCCAAAAAAGCAACCCAACCACATGCAAGGGCCACCCAATGCCGGTTCGCCCGCGAGATCTTTAGTGCGGGATAGGTGCGGGACACACGGCAGCGCCAACGGCACCGTGGGAGGTCACCATATGACGCGGCCCAGCCAAAAAAGAAGCACCAACAGAGGCACCGCTACCGTCAAAGGATACATCCCACACCCATGCTTGGGCCTTGAGAGAGAGTATTTCGGCCCTCTCTGGGGCGGCGCAAGCTCACCCCGGGCCATCAATGGCGGGTAATTCGGCCCACCAAATGCCCATGGCTGACGCTTCCCGTCTGCTTTGCTCTGCTGTTGCCCGTAGGAGACGGCCAGTGGCTTATGTGTTGGTCCGGCCGTTTGTGCGGTTGTCGCAGTGCCGGCGCGTACGTAGGTACATGTGGGGTGAGCTGGGAAGGGAACATGGGTTTTTGAGAGAGAATCTCTGCCGCAATACCGCCCGCGCCGTTGGGGGCTTGCAACTTGCGTTCAAATCCGGAGAGGCTAAGCTTGTTGATCACATCAGGTTTTTTTTGGGGGTCTTACGCGTGCTTTTCTTTGCTAACTTGTTGGTTTGGCCCTTGGAACTGAACACACCCCCCGGTCTGGCGCCCTCCGCCCCTCTCTCTCTCTCTCTCACCCCGTCGATGGATGGGTAACCGGGAGCACGCATCGGGTTCTTCGGCGGATTGGGTCGTACGTACACTACACTATGGGATGATGGGGGGAAATAGGGAAGGAATGTATGCATCTCCATTGGTATAGGTAGAGGTAGATAAAACTAGTGCAGTCCCCCCCCTCTCTCCTCCCAAGGTGCTTCTTATGTGAGAGAAGTGATTGGGACTGCATCTGTCGAGCTTGCTTTATCAAAGTTTCCCTTGGCTTGAACATCGCTCTCAAAAAAGTCCAAACGGCTCTTACTAATTGCCTCTTGCCGACTTTCGATACCTCGTTGCATACTCATACTGCAGGAACTGGGGGAAGAAGGAACCAAGCGCTCTTGCTCCCTGTTCAACCTGCCTGTTTACCGCCGCACCGCAACCTTTCGATGACGTTTTGCCCAGACGAGCAGGAAGGGAAAAGGAATTAAACGACCGCAACTTCCAGAGATTCGAGAAATCATAATCTCTCAAATTCTATACAAGCCGAACTCACACATTTTTTTGAGCTTCAAAAGGTCGATATCAGCCGTATCAAACGGGGGAAAATCAGCCAAGATGCAAATCGGACGCCTCCTTTCGACGATCGTCGTTGGTCTCACCATCGCGCAAGCTACACCGATCCAAGACAAGACTTCAGCCTCAGCATCAACCACCGAAGTAGAAGAGCTCAAGGAGTCGCGGGGCAAGGCTCCCAAGTACTTTCAAGAAGCAGAGTAAGTCCATCAGATGCGTCTCATTCAGAAGTTCACGGCCTTTGTTCGACATCCTTGCGACGATGAGATTTGGGATGGGATGAGAAGAAAAGAAGAGACCAAGCGTCTTCCCGAAACTCTAATAAACCATCCCACGAAGATCATCACCAGCGACATATTCAACAGGATACACGGATACTAACACCCACACCAGCTTCTCAATCCACTACGACGCCCGCTTCGCCACAAAACCCCTCAACACAACAGCCCAGCGCGAAGCAGTCCAGGTCCTGATCCAAACCTACCTCGCCACCCTCCGCGACCTCGGCATCCAGACCTGGCTCATGCACAGCTCCCTTCTCGGCTGGTGGTGGAACAAGCAAACGCTGCCCTGGGACGCCGACGCCGACGTGCAAGTCACCGAGAACGGCATCAACTTCCTTGCCGCCTACTACAACATGACCACCTGGTACTACAAGTACCCGTCCGTCCCCGAAGGCCGCTTCTTCCAGCTCGAGGTGAACCCCAACTACGTCCGCCGCGGACAGGACAGCTTTGACGAGAACAACGTCATTGACGCCCGCTGGATCGATATGGAGAACGGGCTGTTTATCGATATCACTGCCGTTCGCTATGTTGAGGACCATCCTGAGGGTAATGGCGTGTTGGCCACCAAGAATGGCCACGAGTTCCGTGATACGTCCCTCTATCCTTTGCTTGATACCACTTTTGAGGGTGTCAAGGCCAAGATCCCCTACAAGTACAAGGAGATGCTCGTCTCCGAGTATGGGGAGAAGGCCTTGACGAATCAGGAGTTCAAGAAGTAAGTCACCAAACAGTCGCATCCATTGTGCCCATTGTTTGCTAACGCTGTTTTCTAGCCATAAGTTTGTTGACAGCAAGATGGAATGGGTTCCCACTGATGAGCTCTGAGTCACGAGGCATAGGTGGTTGTACGATTATCACGGATGAGTGTATGAGCTCAGGCGTTTGTGCCAAACTTTCGGTCAAGGTGCCCGCCATTAAAACGTAACGGTCTTCATTTGTGGCGTTAGGGAATACCCAAAGCTCTGTTTTCGGCAAGAAAAATGCCAATTTTCGCTCCAAGTCAAAACTCTGTCTGCATGCTCGCTGTCCATATTCAACTGCTCTTCGTGTCTCCAACCTAGTCCTCGTCAAGATCCTTGACCACCACCTCCGCCATAGCACCGCCACCCTCCACTGTGCTGATATTCCTGATATCGGGTTTAATCACATGTTCCTGCCTCTGCTGGGTTTCCGAAGTGCTGCTCCAAGCACAATCGTCCACGATCCGCTTCAAATGGCCTTGTAGAGCGTGAAGGTGTACAATTAGGGGGCATTCCAGACCACCACTGCAACTGTGCGGTTTGTTCCTCGTCAAACCGTTGACGCGCTGAGCAATCGCCGAGAGAGTGGTGTCTTCCTGTCCCATTATATTAAAGGGCCATAGCGTCTGGCGCGCGAGAAGCTTGAAGTACTCTCCGATACGAGAGCTTTTCGTACAGACATCATTGTGCAGTGTCCAGTTGCGACATGAATGGCATAACTTGGCATCGGACGGGTGTTGCCGTCCGCAGCTGAGACAGAGCCGTTTGGCGGTGAGATATCCTTCGCTATGGGTGCTTAGGGGGCCTTCGAGAGACCAAATGTGGGCGAAAGCTCGTACCAGGCGGTTGTTGATATCAACCTTCAGCCCATCTAACGTTGATTCGTGTTAATCTAAGGTGTTTGATGCATACTAACCTCCATCGAGCTGCCGTGGCGTGGGGAAGCGCAGGAAAGAGCAGAAACGGGGGGGAGATGATGGGGACTAGCGAAAGTATAACTCCGTCAACACTTACCAAACGATTTACACTCATGTGAATTTATGAGCGGTAGCTTTTCAGCCCAAATGTCTTGAAACCTCAACGAAAGGTTGCAAACAGCATATTGCCTCAGCTTGGCGAGTTCGTCTTTAGCCTCAAAATTGTCCACTGACTTTAAAAGCATTCCAACGTCCACAACGGATGGCTTTCCGCTATCGATAATGGTATGGAGGGCTCTTGGGCACCATATACCGATCCAAGGCGCGAGCGCGTTGTTGCACTCCAAGTAGACGCTGGTTTCCGAGACTCCTAGAAGCTCTCTGACGTCGAGTGTCTTGTACTGATCGATGCTGGTGTGATGCAAGACTGAAAGTATGCATCGGAGGGCGCGGCTGTGGATTCTCGGTTGCCGAGGGGAGAGATGGAAGAAGATGACCTTGCACGCATCTTGCATGCTGCACTCTGCATCGATCAACTTCGCAAAGGTCGCCGAGGCGACCCGACAGATCTGGGAGGATACGCGGAAGCCAGCGAGCATTGTGTTCCGAGAAGCGAGAAGAATGACGTATAAGTCTCCATCGGGGAGAATGACTTCAGAATGCCTAGTGTAGGGTCTCAGAGACCCAGAAGTCCCTTTTTGCGGCGACTGCTAGACGCCTGGGAGCTGAGGATAACTCCCCATAGGCTGTTCTTCGTGGAGCTGTCGTTGCCCAAAATCTGTTCGGCTCTCGATGCTGCTTGATTGCATGTCGTTGATAGTCCTCTCGGATGGTTGATCGTCGCCGTCCACAGTGATAATCAAGAGCGGCAATATAGCAGAAGTGGTCGTGGCAGTTTTGATGAATCAATAGAGTGACGCAGAATAGCAGATGTTGGGTGGATGAATGGATCGGTAAAACGAGGCAGAGAGAACAAGGAGACTTAAAAAGGGAGCGAAGGAGAATTTTGTTGGATGTCATTTGCAAAGCTTTAACAGCAACCGATGCTTTGTTTCGTGCTTTCCTTTGAGATGTCCGTCCCGATGGCAACCACCAGCACCATGTTCGAATAGGTAAGACCTGCCTACCGTGTCTGTCTGGTACCGGGGAAAAGACCCGTTGCCTGAATCCTGAATGAGCAAGGCAGCGTAATTCGTTGACTGGAAAAGTTTCCTTGAAGGTTGAATATGGCAGCAAGCTCCTTCAGCACCCCAACGCGTGTGTTTTCATTGAGTGTTTGCTTGCTTCTGCCAGCGCAGATGTTTCGAATAATTTCATATACATGCCGGACAAGGTGGAAGGTCAGGAGGCTCGATACCAATCTCCAAGCCTAAAATATTCCTGGGCTTGATTCTATGAATGATTGCTTCTGAAATGTTCTTAGAAATGCTATGAAATCAAAACGCTTTTGTTGCCAAGATGAGGCCATGTCATGAAAACCAAAATCACCAACCAGCCAATTTGCCGCCCAAGTTTCGCCAAAAGTATCTTTCCACTCTACAGGCCTTCGCATTCCAACCCCTTGATGGCCTTGTCCTCGCAGTCAGCATTGGCAGTAGCATCATCCGCTGCAAGAGGCTTCAGCTTCCAGCCCCGGATGCCATCAATCACCTCGACCACCGCGTTGTCCAACTCGACCAATCGCTTCTTCAGGGGGCATCTCTGGTCAAAGTCACATCGGTGAGTGCTCGTCTCCCTAATTATGTTGAACCGCAGAGCAATCTCGGCAATGGTACCCTCACGCCATGCCTTCTCGTTGGGGTACAGCTGCAACTTGGTGAACATGCGCGTGCACTCAGCTACGCGTGTCTCGGAGGAGCAGACAACCGGGAAATCACCCACTCCAAGGTTTTGGCCACTGAGAGGCGGGCATTGGGGCAATGGGTGTTTTGGTGTCTCTTGTAGATGCGAAGGCACTTGCTGCAGCGGGAAGTGTCCATGAGGCCAATCTCGGATTGGTTCTGATCAAGGTCGATGATGGTCTCCTGCAGAAGAGAGTAGAGACGTCGCTGAACCACCTTCATCTTCCGAATAATGTTGCCTGGCACACGTTAGTCAAAGTGTCTCTGGAACCTCATCATTGCAGCAGACTCACGAATGACACCGTCCGGCAAAGCAGACAGGACCTCATCCTCCGACCAGGCTTTGAAGTCAAAGTTCATCGGAAGCTGCAAGACAGCAGCCTTGGACATCTTCTGGAATTTGGCCGCCTCGCCGAGAGAGGCAGTCGCGACTAAGAGGTAGCCAACGTCCCCACGCTCCACCTGTCCGAAGTTGGCGAGCCACTGGTTGACCCACGGTCTGAGAGACGCAGCACAGTCGTACTTGTCGCACTGCATAGCGACGACGGAAACCATCCTGGCACTCAGAGTGTACCACTTGTCCTGGTACTTGTAGTGTAGAATAGAGAGTATCATCTCCATGGCTTCGGGGTTGTCATCGTGCAAGGTGATGTCGGGCTTCGATCCGGACTGAATCTTGGCGCCTTCCTCGAATTTGGACGCGAGAAGAGAGTTGAAATATCTGGAAGCGACTCTCAGAATGTGAGAGGATACGAGGAATTTCTTCCGGGGATTGTTATGAGAGACTATGAGAGCAGCATCCCAGGAGGGGTGTAGCTCGATGATGGACTCATCTGCCATCTCAATGTCGGCCATGTTGGCTGAGTCTTGCTAAGAGATGATTTGAATTCGAGATTTGAATTGTGAAGATGTTATTTAGACGAGGGTCGAATGAATCGTGTGACACTGCCCTTGATATCCGTGGAGTCTTGATTGGAGATGTAATGTAGAAGAATAAGTGATATTGTGTCTTCACAACGACCAAGAAGAATATGATGTTAACTGAGCTAAGTGAAGATATTGAGCAAGAGTGAATGAGATGTATGGGAAGGTAGGCTCCACCCTTCCAAAGTATAACGATCAACTTAAGAAAGCTGAGACGCGAGATTGCTGTTGCCCAAGTCTAAGTGACGAAGGCCGGTCTTGTATTGGTAAGTTGAAGGTCAAGTTACGAAGTTGAAAGTTGGAAGAGGCTGAAAGAAGGCAAAATATCCTGGTTTCTCATGAAATATTTTGGGTTGACTGTCTCCGGGTATGGCAGTCGAGAAGGAGCTGTGTGACGGAATGTTGGAGTGGAGGGCAGGTATAATGGCGTCTGAAAGAAGGCAAGAGTGACAGTCTAAAACTCATAAGGTATGTTTGCCACGACGGGAATCCGATTAGCGAGGTCGGTATTTCGGAAAATCTGCCGACTTGCATCATGATCGAATTCTACTGAAGTGGCGTAGAGGTTATCAAGTCCAAAGGCTTTCCTTGACCTGGCTGGCAAGAGCCATGGGGAAAGCAGGATATTGATACGAACAGTAAGTTGATATGAAGTAAGAAAGCTGCTGTTTATTTACACCTGATATGCATCTTATATCTTTGAGTGGGAAGGGATAGTCCGTAGATAGTAGTGACGGTATTACGTGTAGGTGACAATGCGATTGATTGATTAAGTCTGATGCATTCATCATCCCTTAATTCATTGGTGAATCAAAGCATGAATCTTTGCCTCTGGATAAATTAAGAGCTTAGACTCAGTCACTACGAGGCCAACGTGTTCTTAACTGCCTTTGAAGATTCAGATTTTCCTTTCTGTCCTCAAGCAGCGACAAAGGATTGAATCTTGGAGAGCTTCGTACGTGGAGTTCTAAGTTTGGACGTTGAACGCGCACGGACCATTACTCGACCTGCAGGGGTGCAATGTGTAAAGGGTGGTGGTTGCGCGACACGCCTGGCCAGTACTTTAGTAGACGCGCCGCCCCTCTGTCTACAGCGACTGCATTCGACTAGATTTTATTGGAGTATACGCTTCAAATCGCAGTAATCACGAATCGAAATCTTCTGCTTCCTCGATGATACCTCTCTTGTACACAAATCATTTTGGGGGTATACCTGCCCTCGCGAACTCGTCATAATCCGCAGCCATGACCAGTGAGTCCCGTTGCAGAGCCCCACCAACAAGAGATGCTGACATTCGATAGCCCGCGGGGAGCGCATGCAACAGCGCATGCGAGGAGCTGGGTGAGTGTTTCCGTCCTCTATCACGCAGTCTTGTCTAATCTCAGTGTAAAGACATGGCCAAATTGAGGATGTCTCATTCCAATTGGACTTTGGCGATGACCTCACAACCGAAATCGAGACCCAAACTAGCCCCGAGAGGCCGCCGCTGCGACCGACACCGACTCCGAACACATCTGCCAAGCGACGTAGGTTAGACAGCGAAACAGCGCGACCTGGCACCACCGAGACGAACAATGTGAGCCAGACGCAGAAATCACCGGGAAAGCCCGATGTCTACGACCTCCAAGCGGAAACCTCCGCTGAATCCGCCCAAGCCACAGTTGCGCAGCCAGCAGCGAGCCCCGATGCCGTTGTCGAAGCCGGCGACCCAGACTCTGTCGAATCTCTGCCGCCGCCGCGGCACGCACCGTCGGCGTCGTTCGTTTCACCAGTATCGAGGAGGGTGGCAGCAGACAATACCGAAGTAGAGGAGAGTCCTGCGGATGCGCCGGGCAGTGGTCGACGGCGCAGGATCACAACGAGTAGTGCCGTCGCGTCGAGCGCGAGGTTACAAGAAGCCCTTTCACCGGGCGAAAATGCGACGGAGACAGTTCCGATATCGTCTCCTTTGGAACGCAAAGTACGGCGGAACACGACCAGCACTCGCAGGTCCACACTCAGCTCTCGCGGGAGTCGCAACTCGGCTGCATCTGCCAACGAAGACCTGGACGAGCTCTCTCCGGACCGGACAGCAAACTCTATCGAGAGGACGAGGTCCCCTGAGCTGTCTTATCGCCGTGAAGCGGAAGCAGAGGAAGTGGAAGCAGAGGCATCAGAAGCAGAGGCATCAGAAGCACCCGCCGACGTATCGGAACGAGCGATAGCGAATAATTCTCAAACCGAGTCGATACTCGGGCCGGAGCTGGACGCGATTATTGACGAAGTTCTACAGCAGGACCAGGATCACGATGAAAGCTTGGCAGAGGAAGTGAGCGTGAAAGAAGCAGCTCAACAACTAGGTCGAAAGCGACCGCGGACAAGTCCACGAAGATCATCCCCCGAACCAGATCCCACGATAGCTGAAGAGGGGCAAGAAGAGCCCGTGCCGAAGAGGCGACGGAAACAAGCTCAAGAGAGCCCAGCGAAGCAGAAGCAAGGCAGACCAAAGGCAGCCTCCAAAGGCAAGGCGGCTTCTACAACGAAGGACGCCTCACCCAAAGCTGCAACGAAGCGCAGGAAGAAGTCAGGATCGGACGGGGTCGATGAGGCTGTATCCATCCCTGTGCAGCGCTTCACAAAACGCGTGCAAGTGGCTGAAGGCGGCGACGACGAAGCCGATGTGCTCGCTATGGATATCCCCTTCGCCGGGCGCGGCGGTGTGAACACGGTCGACGTGTTGACCCATATGTGCGACGAGATTATCGAAACTAGCATAGAAACCCTGAAGGAGGGAGTGCGTAATGCCCAAGATGCATCCACCAAGAGGGAGCATCGCGTGCAGCAACGGGCTCTGGAGGCGTATCAGGACGAATTGAGGACGCGGCTCCTCCAACATGTGGGTAGATCCGCATCCCGAGGCTGGTGGTTGCCACCCGTGCTGACTCAAAATTCCAGACCATTCTCCTCGACACGCTCCACAGCTTGCGCAAGCGAGTACGCAGTGTCCAGAAAGAGAGGATCACTCTTCGGGACGAAATCATGCGCATCCGAGCCGAGCGAGACCAGGTGGCGCTCCGGAAAGATGCCATCAGGATTAAGCACGAGAGGGTGACGGAAGAAGCACTGGTAATGTCACACCCTGCCCAAAAGGCAACACCACACCTTAACTCAGCCTTATGAGCTCTTCTAACCGCCTGTTTGTGTGTGCCCACAGAACCAATTGAGCTTATCTTCGCAGATGCATGACATTGATCTCGCCGTGGAGCGCGGTCGCGCGGCACCCGAGTTGAGCCCGGCCGAGAAGAAGGCGGCAGAGTTGGCGAACCTTGAGATTTTAATATCTAGAATTACGGACCAGGCTTGTACGCACAGTGACACGGGGGGCACACTGAAGCAGGTAAAGGACTTCAACGCGTTCCTTGAACGAGCTGCAGTAGCTCTAGAAGGTCGATAGACGAGATGCAAGAGAGATACGGACAGAAAGAGAGGCAACAAATGGCCCGAGCGATGGCGATGTGGTTGGTGTCTTTGCCCACGTCATATCTGATCTTCACGACAAGTTGGCGTTCATGTACGATGCTTGGGGCAAGCTCTGGGGGGGGGAAGAGGCAGGGAGGGGAGGGGTTCGACGGGTGGCCTTTGCCGGGGATACCCAGGAGACTCGGCTTTCGGCTCAACCCCTCATGGTTGATGACTATGACAATTCAGGCCAAAGGAAGCCAACAGAAGAAAAGCAGCTGCTTCAGCCTTCACGGGGTTTACCAATAGGCGGGCGTTGACTTACCGCGCCGTTCTGGTGTAAACTCTATTCCCCAATCACAAGAGACTGCGCGACGGCCGAAAGAGGGAAAAAGCTGTCTTACTCTAGGTACGGCGAAGAGCGCCATTTACTTTGAATTGAGGACGAAACTCAGCACCAAAGCAAAATCCAAACTGTCCAAGGAAAAGTCGACGAGAGTCTGGACCCCCCCGTGTCTTCCAAATCGACGCAGAACTTTTGTTCCTTTTGACCCGTCAATCGACAGACACTATTTTTGGTCTTGTTGGCTCCATTCCCCATTTTGACGTCACTAAGCCTTATTCGAGTATGACTATGCGCCTTTCCCACCCTCGTCCCAAACTATCAGACTCTTTTTCGAGTCTTTTCTGCACTCTGTAATAAATTACCTTGCAATGCAAGAGACAGTTGAGCCTAAGCCATCGTCCGTCCTTCTACCCCATACAGTACCATAGAATACCACCGTGACTGGCTGGGGATCCCTGGAAATCGGGGTGGCCGTGTTGTGTTTTTTTCTTCTACCGGTATCACTTGTGGTACTGAGTAGGCGTCCCCGGGTCCGTGTGCCTTTTTCGTGTTCCCACTCTCCGCAATGTGGCGGTCGGCCACCCGGTAACTTCCACCCTGCTATTTCGTATGGACCGTGAGGTAAGTAGAGTGAGTACGGAGTATGTTGGTGTGGTAAGGTGTGGTAAGGTTGTAGCTTCCCGTGCTACCCAGTGTGCCCGTGTCATGACATCCATCACGGAAGTGCGGCACTTTTCTTCCCTGTCCTCAATTCGTTTCCTGCAAAGTTCCTACAATCTAATTCCCGGCCTGCCCTACGTGCATCACACACGCCCCCCCCCCCCTCTCCTACTCTCCTGTTCCCCTTCTCCCCTTCGCTGTTACTCTGCCCCCCTCCAAACCCCTGGACCCTGACCTGTTGCTTCGCCCGACAACGAAGCCACAAGAGAGGGACGAGAAAAACTGGGCTTCGGCCACGGCGTGTGGGCGACTGATTGGGTGCTTTTGGGCTGTTCTCTCGATTGTGGTTTGCCGCTTTTGCATCCGATGAGAAGAGCTGCGCTTAATTGGGGGGCACAGTGGAGGGAGTGCGAAAACCGGGAAGGGGAGGAGGGGTGTGTGTGTGTGTGTGTGTGTGTGTGTGACTGAACCGAGTGAGTTGGTCTGCTTGGGATAATTAGGATAGGATAGGATAGGTCAGGATAGGCCACCCCGACGAGGTTTAGGGATCCTCGGCCACCGACCGCTTCAGCTGGATTGACTTGGATTGGACTGGGTCACTTGGAGAACAACGAGGGGGGCCAGGAGTAGGGCGCCAGTCTCCTGGTTGCTGAGGTGTGCTGCTTTACTACGGAGTACCTTAGCTACCTTACCTTACGTAGGTATGGTGGTGGGCGAGTACATAAGGCGGGAGGGGGAAGCTCTCTTCTTCCTCAATCTTCTCGACCCAGTTGTTAATTCAGACCACACATCTCTTGATACCACAATAGAAGTTCTCGCGTCTTTTGTAGACCCGTACATACAAACAAACCTACCCTCTCTTTACCACCCAACTTCAAAACAAACTCAACCGTCAATATGCCCGCTCCCGAGGCTCCCCAGCAGCAGGCCCCCATGGAGGTCCCCGTTGAGAACGGCATCGTCACTCAGCAGCCCGTAAGCTCACTTCCCTTCCTCATGCCAGCATCTTGAGCACAGGTACTGACAAGACATAGTCCGCCGAGCCCCAGCCCGAGATGGGTCTCCGTGGTGGTGAAGAGGCTGGCTGCGAGCTCTGCTGCGGCCTTTGCGGCTGCGAGGAGTCTTGCTGCTAAGCAATTCGTCCCATGAAGAAAGATGACGGGGAGGAAACTATTTTGGAAAGTGGGAAAGGATATGGTTCCACCCTTTTCTCGGCGTTTGGGACGATTACCACCATCACCTACCGATACTAGGAGGGAGAGGGAATGATTTGGATTTCTTGGATTACATATATATCTATCACCGATAAAACAATCGAATATATTACAAGTTCACACACATTATATCTCCATCACCAGTGAGACAACGAAGCCAAGCAATGTCGTTGAAGAGCAGAGGCTCAAAAAAATTCTTGGGGTGATGCGAGGCGGCGGTCCCTGGGCTGCCAAGCTTTCAAGTGCGCGGGTAGATCTCTTGGGAGTCTTGGCACGCCTTAGCGAGGTGCTTGGAGGGCTGAAGTGGCAGCAGAATGCGAAAGGGGGTCGGGCTGGTCGGGGTACGTCAGACCTCCCAGCGAGGGAAGGGCGCTGCACTGCACTGCTGCAGAAGTCGACCTACCCGTTACCCGCAAGCCCCGACCTAGACATTTCTTTGCCAGCTGGTTGCACCTTTTGCTGGGCACTGCGCCATGCTGTCAGCACCTCATCCTCTCCGCCGCCATTTGGGTACCTCACCTTAGCTTGGCATCACCGCTCTTCCGGAAAATTTTGGATATCCGTGGCAGAACCATCCGAGGTTGGGGATTAGGTACGAATACTCCGTAATAGCACTCATCCAGGGCCTCCAACTTCGTCATTGATGTCAACGGCCGTGCGGTGAAGGTAGGCACAGGCGAAATGATGATGAACTTCCCGAGTCCCGTCTTCTTCCCGTCGGTTCCGCGACGCAAGCTCTCCCCTCACACCCCTTCTGGGCATGCACCCTTGACGTGGTTCACGAGCCCATTCCTGTCATGGTTTCAGACTTTGCAGGTTGCTGAGTGATTTTTCTGTGCAGCTTTCCTATCACTGGGTTATTCGTACATTCTCTTCCCGCCCATTTGCCAGGCCGACTTCAGGTGAAACGCAAACTCTACCTTATTCTGTCCAAGGTGCTGGAGTTCCCCTTATCCCCTGCCTCTCCCCCCCAACTGCCGCGGACTGCGGACCGGAAGCTGAATCCCTGGTTCCTGTCCTCCTTCTGTGAACACGAGATGGGATGATCATGAGAGTTTCATGGCTGACGCTGACCCTTGCTGAGGGAATTACGGGGGAGGGGGCCTCGGTAAAGTTTTGTGGTTACCTACCTACCGTTGCTGAAGTATTGCCGTGTCGTTTTCGCGTCGGTGTGAGGTTGATCAAGTCACGTCACAATCTCAGTCCTTACCTTGATTTCTCACACTGGCTTACCCTGATTGGGCCTTGCCGATCTTCCATGTCAAGATTGATAAAAGTTTCCGACATGATCTGTACGGAGTTCAACGAGCCAAACTTTCCAACACATGGAAGAGGGAATTGAGCCCGTCTCAGGCTCTTTTTGTGCATTTCAGAATGCATACGTACAAGTACAGGATAGTCTACAGTCGCTTGTACAAAGGACGATATCGTGATATGTAACACACCCACGGCAACCTCAACCGCGGGGCTTCTCACAATCCAATACTCTAACCTGTATCGACTCACAGGGCTTCTCTCACAGGTAACTCCTGTCTAGAAAGCCCCGAGACAACCATCACCTCAGACCGCAAAGGTTCCTTTACTTCCCACCACCAAACGTCCCCGAGATACGATCCACAATCGTAGCCTTGCCCTCCGCCTTGCGCCTCTCCTTCTCCTTCTCCTGCTCGTCCCACAGCTTCTGCACGTTCTTGGCCACCTCGACATTGGCCTGGAAATCCGCCCGTAGCGCCGCCTCCTCGGCTGCCCTCTCCGACTCGGGCAGCTGCTCCAGCTTCTCCTTCCACGAGGTCTCTAGGTCCGGCCTCGGCGTGTGCGCGGTCGCGGCGGGCGCGGCGGTGGGTATCGAAAAGTCGAACTTGGGCGCGGGGAGGCCTTCCTTCTTGGCGGCCTCCATGGCTTGTTCCTGCTCAATCATGCGCCCGTAGAGCTGGTCTGCGTGCATCTGGATGTCTTCTTCCACTTGGGCTGATCGGCCGGCAATGGATTGGTAGCCTAGGGCCTTGAGGAATCTCTATGTGGTGGAAGGGCAGTTAGCATCGCAATCTTGTCCCAGCTGAGTGTGAAGTTCGCAGGCTTCATCAGGATAGGGAGGGGTATCCGCACCGTTTGCATGGTATAACACCTCTCAAACTTTTGGACCTGACGCCTGCACATCTGCATCCTGTCCTCCCAGTCGCCGCTCTTCATGCAATTCACCCACTCCTCCTGCTGGATCGCGCAGTTCTCAAGCGCCGCCCTGCCAATGTCGTGCTTGCGCTGCTTGAACCCGTCCAGCACGTCCATGAGCTTCTCGTGGTCCGTCTTCGTCTCGGCCTCGATCTCGGCGTAGGGCCGGTACGTCTTCCACAGGTGCGCGTACCGTCCGTCCTGGAAGAGGCTCTCTTTCGGCACCTTTGGCTGTTCCGCGGCATCTTGTGACTGTGCTTGTGCTTGGGCGTGGGCGCGCGCTTCTGCCGTCGCAGCTGCTTGCGCGGCGATCCGTATGGCCCTTTTCTCGGCTTCTTGGATCTGCTGGTTCTGGATCTTGACGGGGGATTCGCGCTCGAGGTATTCGCGGAGCTTGGGGTCGAGGGACTTGAGAGGGTCGTCGGACGAGGCGCTGGGGCCGAACCAGCCGTCGAACCATCCCATAGCGACGGAGAGACTGGGAGGTGATCGAGGAGAGCCGTTAGGAGAAACCGGAGGGCTTGTCTGGAGGACTTCTGAAATAACCTGGGGACTTTTGGCTTGTCGCAAACTGGAAGCTCTGGGAGAATTTCGAGGTGGATGGCCGTGGCCCAATCAGATGCCTGGAAAGACAAGAAGCAATGTGCATCCAGAAAGCCACGCACTGTGTATGGCACTGTCGCATCAAGGGTTTTGTTCTACTTCACGCCAATCATCCTGGTCTCGAATATGTATGATGACCTGAGAGTTTCTATTGTTATGTCTCCGTAGCTGCCTGTCATTATTACGTCCATCACTTGTGGTGCGCTGATTGGAATACGGAATTGCCATGTTCTTATTATCTGAGCTGAGGCTTCGCGTAGCTACATTGTTTGCCATCAAGGCACCTATTTTCTATAGCAGCTTTCATCCACGCGTTGTGGTCCGAATAGACCTTCGTTATGCGGCAAATTGTGACAGTCGGATGGGCACAGAAACAGCATGTCACTGGTTCACCAAGGAGTCTACAGTGGCACAGTCAACCCATCCTAATCATTTTTTTCGTTCATTTGACCCGAGGCGTATCGCAGTTTTCCGTTCCCGCAAAAATCACAAGCCCATCGTGTGCCCAAGACAGCCAGAGAAAGAATCTCTAGATCACTACCACGTGGCTTGGCTGATCGAATTCATTTTGGTCTCTGATTCTGCATCTATAACACAATCATGTGGATGCAGTTTCCCTGATGACCTCCCATCCGGTATTGTAATGAAGAACCCACACCGCAGTCACGCCGTAAATGCCAATGAGCCGATTTAGAACTTGCTGAAGGACTTGACGGCCTTGCCGGTGCGGGGAAGGACGCGCAGGACGTTGAAGCGGACCTGGAGCCGGGAGTGTTAGCAAACATGGACCTCTGAACGAGAAAACGAGCCCCGGGTTCGGGCGTCGATCGTGGATACTGCGTCGCAAACGTACAGTCTTGCTGAGGGGTCTGCACTGGCCAACGGTGACCTGGTCACCCTCCTCGACACGGAAAGCGGGGGAAACGTGGGCGGCGAGGTTCTTGTGGCGCTTCTCGTAACGGGCGTACTTGGGGATGAAGTGGAGGTATTCTCTGCGGATGATGAGAGTGCGGTGCATCTTGGTAGAAACAACGGTGCCGGTAAGGATACGACCGCGGATGGAGACCTGGCCGGTGAAGGGGCACTTCTTGTCTGGAGAGGTCCAACGTTAGCATTTCAGTCCCTGGGTTCGTTTGTGTCTTTGTTTCCCAGCGCGCGTTGCAACAGTCCTCCGTCTTGGGTCGTGTGTCGTGTAGTTCCCCCTCTGGTCCTCCAAAGTTCCAATCCTTTTCTGCCATCGTTTGCAGTCCTCCAGCCGTGTCGCAAAGTTTCGTCGAGATTAAAATGTCGTTTCTGTCGCGCGCGCCTGGGATATCCAACACCTCAATCGATCTCGCTCGCAAACGTACCGATGTAGGAGCCCTCAATGGCAGTGGCGGGGGTACGGAACCCCAGACCAACGTCCTTGTACCATCTGCGGCCGCTCTTGCCGGGGCGAGCAGACTTCGCCTTGGTCTTCTGGTTAAGGAAGATACCCTTCTGCTTCTGGAAAGCCCTCTCGGACTGGACGGTCAACTCGGTAGCCATCTTGACGTCGTGGTGCGGTCGACTGGGCGGGGGTGGGTGCTGTTGAGGGTTAGGAAGTCGTTGATGCTGAGCCGCAACTTTTCACCAGAGTCTGCAAAATCGGGGGTGAGAGAACGTGAGGGTCGGGCCTGCCCTGAAATTGTCATTAGGGCTGTGGACATGAAAAAATTAGCGAGGCGCCAGCCCCACCTCTGTTCAGCCACGTTCATCTGGTCAGCCACAGGCATCAGCTCCAGCCACTCTTGAGATATTCCAGCCACTGCTGACAAAGACACACAGAGTCTGCACCCTAATCGTAAAGGTGGTCCAAGCGGTGACAGCGGTCTTCGGCGCTACCACAGCAACAAATTCACGTCTATTGACATCATTCTCTGCAAGCCAATCAGAACCCTGGTAGGCAGTAAACAAGACTTATGACAGCCCACCACCCTGAACATACCTAGATCCTGTGGGCACATTCACGCCACTACCGATTCCAGTCGCGTAGCTCTCCCCAAGTTTAAGAGGTGACATGTGCACTCCTCTTTCTCGTTCACCTGAAGCCTGATAGCAGCACATCGCCACCGACAGCAACAACTTTCAATATGGCTTCATTTGGCGATGCGACACTTCCTGCTACGCGCCGGACACGCAAGTCCATCGGCGCGACCACATCCTCGAGAAAGAACGGCGATAAGGAGAATGCGACAATCGACGTTGGCAGTACCCTTGCGGAGAGCAGGAAGAAGTCGCGTAGCAAGAGCATTGGCCCTGGAGGTCTGGACGCCCTGAAAAGTGCAAATGGGAACCGCAGAGCCGTAAGCCGTATGCTCCTGATCAACCTCGTCTCACGCGACTAACATGCGTATCTTAGTCTTTGGCTGTGCCTTCACGGCCTCCGCCGCGATCTATCTTGAAGCCCACAATGCCCTTACTACCCGAAATTCCACCACATCGAAAGCGCGCCGCCGACCTCATCGACCTCGGTCCGCCGCGGTCAAGCACCCCAACTACTACGGCCAGTACCGACCCTACAGGCTCAGGCTCCAAGATCGCCTTGCGCACCGAGGAAGAGCAGCAACAGGCAGCCAAGGAGCGCGAGCGCAGAGATGCAAGACGTAAGTCTCTCGCAAACCGCAGAGTATCTTTTGCCGCGGAGGCAACCCTTCACACGTTCCATGAAATCGATTTCATGCAGGATCCGTCAACAGCAACAAATAAGTCGCGCCGCAGATCCTCTACCTCAGCCCCCCAAATCGAAGAGCCGACGGGGCGCCCATCAACCCCACCAGAACAGGACGATGAGGTCGTTCCCCAGTCACCTGACAATCAGAGAGAATTGCATCAGAAGAAGCGCAGGAGGAGCTCCACCGCGCCGCTTATGGAGTTCTCCGATGATGAGCAAGACACCATGGCTACTGGTTTCAGCTCCGACTCCGAGCCAGCAGATGCCATCGAGGAAGTTGCAGATGAAGAGGAGGAGGAAGCGTCTGATTCGAACAGCGACTCCGACGATGATGATGGCACAATGATGACCGTCGATGATCACGAAGTTACTAGCGCCTCAGTCATGTCCAGCCGGACAACAGCATCGGATGATGACAATGACAGTCTAGATGAGGCACTCCGGACAGCTGCTCGGCAGGCTGGCACACAAAGGCTTGGGTTCGACGATAGTGATGACGAAGAAGTCATTCCCTCCTTTGGCTGGATCAAGAAGAGCAAGCCTGAAGATGAAGCATCGCAGAATCAAGAGAACTCCGCCCCTCCTCCGCCTGTCCACAACAGTCCACCTCGGGATGAGGACGAAGATGACATGGGGATGGATATGGACATGGAAATGGATATGACTGCTGCTGTCGGAGGCATCCTCGGTCAATCATCCGGGGATATCGAAGCAGATGAAGAGATGTCCATGGATGTTACCAGAGTACTAGGCGGGATCCTTTCGCGAAATACCAAAACGCCAACTGAAAATACCTTTGAGGACCAAACCATGGAGTTCACCACAGCCGTTGGTGCTATTCACGACTCCAACGCTGACGACGAAAGTTTCGACGACAACGGAGTGGAAAACGAGGATATGTCTATGGAATTCACGAGCGCCATTGGAGGCCTTCTTCCGACACACCCAAAGAACAATGGCACTCAGAAGCGTCGGAGGACTATGACTTCCCACGAAAACCCAGACGAGGCAACAATGGGCATGGATATGACCGTCGGTGTAGGTCGCATACTACCAGCGGCGGATGCGACTATTCACGGAGGAGACGCGACAGTGGGCATGGACATGACTATCCCGGTCGGCCGAATCCTATCTTCGCAGGACGACACGTTGGATGAGCTGACAACGCCGATGGACATGACGCTACCTGTTGGTCGTATTCTACCGTCGTCTCAAGTGTCCGACCAAGACGAAGCGACTATGGGCATGGATATGACAATGGCAATCGGAGGCATCATTCAACCATCCCAACCTCTGGAGTCTCGCCTTGCTGCCAAGAAACTCATGGAAGCGGAAGTAGACAAGCCAGACACTCCTACCAAATCCATGTCCGTAAAGCCTGCGTCGCCTGCTAAGAAGCTGGCTGCCTCGGCGGCTAAGAGACATTCGTCCGCAGGATCAGGAAATGCGAGCAGTCCTGGGTTCAACCCCTTCCAAGGCAAGGGCCTTCGCCAGAGCATGCCGGGTGTAGGCTCCATGTCAGAATCACCGACTAGAACAAGAACGCCCAGCCCGCCAAAATCTGTCGCTCCGTCACACGCCGCTGCTGGAACACTGTTCGACAGTTCTCCAGTCAAGACACCCCAATCGGTAAAAAAGCCCAGTCGCTCAAAGTCAAAATCCCCTACTAGGAAGCCCGCAACTCCTTCCCCCGAGAAGACTGCTACTCGTTTGAATATCTTCCAGCAAGATCCAGCCACCGGCGCGAGGACACCGACCGTTGTTTTGACTCCGCAAACCCGAAGGCACTCTGGTATCGGCGCGGACAAGCCTGGCCTCGGGTCGCCCCGCGTTGCTGCGCTCCTTGACCGAAGAGGTTCTCTCGGTGAGACGGTCCAGGAGTTCGTTCCTGGCAGGGTCCGTGGTGTAGCCTTTGCTAAACCACAGATCATTGAGGACGAAATTGATAGAGCCCGTCAGGAGGAGGAAGACAAGGAGAACGGCAGGAAAATTCTTGAGCGTGAGGCGGATGGTGGTGAAACCGAAAAGGACGCGACTCTGAACCTGAGGGAGATGATTGAAAGCCTGAGCCCTCACAAGAAGCGCCTGCAAAGCCGCAAGAGTCTTCACGTCGGAAGCGCACGAGGACTTCTCGGTAAGCGGCCCGCTGAACTCGATGATGAGGAGGACAGTGAAGACCGGGACGGCGTCAAGAGACTCAAAGGTCATCAAGGCAGCCCGGTGAAGAATGTCAAGCTGCAGCAGCCTCCAAGTAAGGCAGAGACTACCGGTCGCAGATTGACTCGATCTGCCAGGAAAAGCATGGAGGAGAATGCTGCCTCGAAAGCTACGCCCACTCACTCTGAGTCGCCTCAGAAGCCCGCAAGCTCGGCCAAGTCACCAAAGGGGCACGCTCGATTCAGGGATGTCGAGGAAGACACTGTTCCCCATCCAATGAACCTGGAGGGCTCCCCTGCTCGAGATGAAGCCGAAATTCTCGACGACGATCCGGAGGAGCGGATTCACCTGCAGGACTTCCTCAACATGACCTCGATCCGCTTCATGGAGCTAACGACCACCAAACGGCGTCACACGCAAGCTCCGGATATGTTCAAGGACTTTGGTGGCGAGGAGGACTTGTCACTGGAAAACTGCGTCGTCGCCGGTGCATGCACAGTGCCTATGCTTGAGCTCTACCAGCATTCGTGCCGTGAACTCAAGAAGTACATCTCCGAGGGCCGCCGAATCGTTCGCGAGATCGAGTCTGAGACCTTCGAGGAGAACCCGCCTTTGTTCCGGGAATACATGTCAGCGTCGCCTGATTTCAAGAACATCCTCGACAATCAGTTCAAGAACGGCAAAACTCACGCTCGTCTCGAGAGCAAGGCGATGTGGTACGAGTGGCGCATGAAGCTCCAGGAGGGTCTGAGGGAGGGTCTTGTCAGAATTGCCGAGGGCATGGCCGTCGACGACAAAGTACTTCAGCAGCAGCAAAAGTTGCTCTCCTCCGTCTTGCCTGCAATTGTATCGCGTTTCGACGTCCTTGAACAAGAGCACAAGAACTTGCGGGCTGTTGCAGAGGAGCTTGCCGATTGTGACCCAGAAGAGCTAGAGACCGCCAGATTCGACTTGACTGCGCTTGACACCGATGTTCAAGAGAAGACTCGGCGGGTCGAGGAGCTCCGACAGCAGCTGGAAGAGGCTGAACAAGACGTCGAGCAATTGGCGCAAGAGAAGCAGCAATGCCACGAGGACATCAAGGAGGCTGAGAAGATTCGCGAGGAATGCCGAGGTTGGTCAATCAGCGAGATCAGTGCGCTTAAGGGTAAGTACCTATTGCTGTGTCTGAAGTCTGACCCCACCAAGACTAACATTCCCTGCAGCCCGAGTGGATTCTCTTGAAAAGCAACACGGTTGGGCCGTGACTGGAGTTTCCGGAAGCACCGTCTCAATGACTTATCGTCGCGAGATTGAGCTGGTGTTCGACATGGCGTCGTTCCAGCGCGGTCAGAAAAACTCGCGTATTGACCTGTGGTACATTGCTGCAAATCGCGAGAACAACCCCCTGCCTTCAACGCCGGAAAAGGAATTTTTCCTGCAATGCATCCGGGACCACATCCGTGGCTTGCCGCAGAGCCGCACTAAAATTGCGGACCTCCTCCACATGGTTCATGCCGCGTGGGACAAGTCTAATTCCACTTCCGACCAAATTCGCCGACTCAATGTTAGTTTCCCAACGACTGTCTCCCGTACTTCGGATTCGTCCATCGCGGTCAGGTCTTCGCTCCTTCTGCCACCGATTGAAACAAAGGTGGTGATTGCCCTGGAGATCCACGGGGTGAGCAAGCCTGACGGGATCGACTTCACTCTGCAACCCGAGGCAAATGTGGTTTATGGAGAGCACTTCAACACTGGGAAAATGGCCGAGTTTTTAACCACCCACTTGGGTAAAAAGGCACCGTCTCAAGAGGAGGGCGCACCCTCGTGGATCGACGTTGTTGTCGACCTGCATGAGAGACTCTTGGCGAGAGGAAAGAAGCAAGGTTGAGGAGTGGGTGTTTGTATCTTGTGATGATTGATGAAGGAGGAACTTTGGTTTTTGGGAGGTATTATTCCCGGTTTCAGTGGCGCGTATGGCGGATACCCAGAGCTTGATGCAAAACATGGCTCTTGCTTCCATAATTAGCTGCATATTCAATCCGCAATTGGCTTTTCGACTTAATCTCTCGTTCCATGCGCCTCGATCACATGCCTGTTGCTCTACGTGACTTTGTCTTGCCGTCAATATTGGACGAAGTGTCGATTAAAGGATGGGGTTTACTGTTACAGATGAGTTGAGATTTGCGAATTCAAGAGCAGAGCTCACTCAGGCTTGTAAGCAGTCAATGAGTTCAGATTACATCGGCATGAGACAAGTGCAAATCAATTATCACTACTCAGGTCAAGTTACTCCTAAGACAGAAGCTTAAAGGATTGGAAAATGGGTTTCGGTCAACGACGTCTCACCGCAAGGGGCAATACCAAAACCACACAATTACACAGCCGCCTCGTGCCAACGATGGGGGAACCTTTGCTTGCCGGTGACAAGTAATAAGATTCAATGAAGGTAGTCAGGCCAACCGTCACCCCTCCCACCCAAACCCGGCGACCGCCATCCCGCCCAGGCCCACCACGATCCTGAATACGCAGCCTCCTTGGCCTATTCACCTCACATCTCCACGGGCTTCACCTTAGAACACAAGACGAAGGTGAATCATCCGGAAGCCCTGCTTCACTTTACGTCACGTGTCGAACGACCCAACGACCCAACCGCCCAGCGACCGCCCACCGCTGACCGCCCGCCCAGCCCACCATCCACCCGTCGCCCATATATATCACTCTTTCCTCGCGGCGATTTTTTGAAAAAAAAAAAAAACTTCTTCTCCTTTCCTCTCTTTGTCGCGCGTCAATACGAAATTCATCATCCACCAAGATATCCCGGTAGCTCGTTGCTTGGCACGCTCCGTGGACTTATTTTCGCATTCGACTCACGCCTTACTGACTTACTTTACTCGCTCCAACTCGACAAGACGACCTCAAGATGGATCCCGCGTGGTTTATTGAGGCTGTAGAAGGTTCCGTTTCCTTCTGGAATTGGGTCATCTTCATCTTCATCACCGCGTACGACTTCGTGTCCGACTTTGTCGAAGCAGCCACGGAATCCGCGTTGGTTGGCGAGATCGTAAGAGTGTCCGGTTCCTTCTGGAACTGGATCTCCTACATTCCCACCGCTGGAGACCAGGCTTGCCGAGCATTCATCAATCTGGATTTTGAACCATTCACCCCGCTCAACTGCGCCCTACTTCTCGCCGTCCGTCTCCTGTTGATTTACGCGATTGTACGCCTTGAGGCGTACAGTCTCCGATGGAATGCCGGCGGAGAAGATGATCCCTTGTTTCTTCGTCTCGATGTTGATGACATGTTGGGCATCTGGAAGGTCGAGCAAAAGCCCAGGATTCCTGGTACCTGGCCAGAGGAATCCTCTCCGACGTCGACCAAATAGTATTGGTCGCGCGAGAGTGATCCCTCTTTTATGTGAGCGACAGCCTCCCTTTCATTGACCCCATTTCACGATATGCTGACAACAGAAACAGACCCCCCTCGCCACCGAATCAGGCGGTGAGCGAACCCGAACCCGAAGTCTCTGCGGAAGATGAACTCGAGCTTCTAAAGGCCGAGCATCAAGACGGGGTTGAGCGAATGTGGAACATATATTATGAGATGGCCGGGAAAAAGCAAGAGGAGATTGAACGCCTGAGGAGATATATTGACAAGCTGCGCACCCCGCGTCCTCGGAACCGGCTCATCGACGACAAGGACCTCCCAGAAGTGATCCACAAGCGACTCTTTGGCAACGAAAAGGTTATCCACGTCTCTCCGCCGGCCACCAACCAGCACGTCAGTCTTCGTGAATGCGTTGATGCACGTCGCGCACTAGCTTCGAGCAACCAGGCATTGGCTTCGAGCCACGAGTCGTTGGCCTCAAGTATGCAAGTGTTGACTTCATGCATCGAAGCTGATGTCAAGGCCCAGGTGAACTTTGTCGTACGACAAGTCATGGCAAGTTTCAATCTGGTAACGGCGTACCGCGCTCAGCGTACGGTCCGACCAGTTCCTGAGTTCTTCGGTGTCGGAAAAGGTGCAAGCCAAACGAGGGTCTCTAGCCAGACGTCGAATGCCCATGGTCATGTTGCCTCAATCGCCCAGACGTCACGCAAGATGATCCAGGTCAGCAAGTCGACACAGACTGCAGATTTCGCCCCTATATCGTTCTCAGCTATTGTCATCTCGCCCCTGTCGACGGCCCCGGTCATGTTATCGCCGGTCCAAGTCAAGGCGGTTCAAATCAGTCAACCAACGCAGGATTCGGACCCCGAGCCTCTGTCTTTGTCACCATTGGCCACCTCACCCTCGTCGACTCTGTCTGCTACGTCCTTGCCTGTCGAACAGAAGACTGATATCGCCGCCGCGCTCGTCTTGCCTGCTTCGAAGGCGAGGGGTCCCGCCGCAAGCTCTATGCCGTCGCCAAGCACTCTCTCTGCTTCGAAGAAGATTGTTCCCCTCGCCCCTCCAATGTCATCGCTCCATACCCCTGACGACAAGGTCCCATCAATCCACACCTTTACGACTCAGGCCCTGCAACCGGAGACAACAGAGATGCCCTCGCCTGGTACACCTGCTCCGGCTGTCAGCCCAGCCCGTATCACCACGTTTCCTTCCCCGCCCAAGATTGCCGACACTTTGCCCTCGCTCGTTGGAGAGCTGTCTTCAAAGAACATGTTCTTGGTTCAGGCCAAGAAACTCGTACACGAAGACAGGGTCGACAATATATTCGCTGTTAAAGCTCAGGTAAAGGCTGCAGTCGTCGCGTCAACGTTCGTTCTTCCGCCTTCAGAGATGACTGCTTTACCTGCACCAGTTGCGAACATCGAACCCTCACTTCCAACTGCAATTCCTCCGGTTTCTCAGTCGCCTGTCCTTCCCGTCACCGTCAACTCTCCGGTCGAGATCGATGAAACACCGCAGATGGAGGGACTACATCAGCCAGTCATCAAAACAGAGCCGGTTCCCGTGGCTCCTCAAGCACCGAAGGCAGCTCCCGAAGTCGTAATAGCAACTCCGGTCATTATACCCGGACTGCTCACTGACAACGTCTCGGCCAAGCCTGAAAACGAGATGGACTGGGAAGAAGAGGGCGGGAACATTTGTCGAATCGATGAACCAGAGTCTGACAAGGAGGATGAACGCATGGAAGAGGATTCCTTCATCAAGGATCTTTGGGGCTCTGACATTGAAGAAGACATTGAAGACAATTCTCCACCGCCAAAGCCCTCACATGCTCCTCATCGGACTGGGTCTGAACCGGAACACCAACCGGACGTCGACATGACCGAGGCGCCCCAGATCCCTCATGATCGCGAGGTTGACATGGACGAGGCTACCAACAGCGATGATCCTGATTCGAAGCCAGAGGAAATGCATGAAGATTTTGAGGGAGAGGAACTTTCGCCTCCGGTACATCGTCCCATGGTCCAGGTTCTTTCTGCTCCTGAGGCTGTGATGACGGACGTCCCCGCCACCGCCGATTCTGGGTCCAAGTTGGAGAAAGTGCCAGAGGATGAGCAAGTGAAGATTGCTTTGCCCCCAATTTATCCTGCTGCAATCCGGCTTAATCCTACTCCCGAGCTTGTCGAAGTCGAAAAGGCAACCGTCCTCGTTGGTCCTGAGCCGGAATTGGAAAACTTGCCAGAGGATGACGAAGAAGAGAGATTTTCGCCTCCGACGGCTCCTGTAGCCAAGGCCAACTCTACTCTAGAGGCCGCGAATGTCGACAAGGACCCTGTTGCCGCCGGTCCTGAGCCGCAGGCCCTGAGGCGGCCCACCAAAGACGAGTCCAACAAGAAGTACGCCCATCTGTTCATTACCCCGCGACGGCGGAAGCCGCAATTGACACGGCCCTCTTCTTCTCACCGGCCCGACGCAGATAGCCCGGGTGCTATTGTTATTCAGGCTCCCGACAACTGGAACTCGACAGTGAAGGCAGAGACTGGGTCGAAGCTCTTGCTGCTCCCAGCGAGTTCGCTCAAGACATCCTCTTCGCCGAGAACAAATCTCCCGTTGAACGGCCCTCGCCCTCGTCAGAACAGCCCAGCGCCCAAGACAACCATCGAGCCAGAGACAGACGTGCCCGGAGGGCCCGAAGATCAGCCCCTATCTCCCACCGTCACTCATACGCCTGAACCCCCTGCCCAATCCGTAAAGGAGATCCTGCCGCCTACAACAATCACCAAGCCAGAGTCAGAAGTACCTGGAGAGCCCGAGGATCAATCACCGTCTCCCACTGTCCCTCAAACGCCCGAACCTCCTGTGCCTGGCAGTGGTCTCCTCACAACGCCTTCGACAATCCCCGGTCTCTCATGGCCCGCTCCGCCCCCGCCAATGCCCCCGGCGCTGGGACAGCAGACCCTCGTCCTTAGAGACCCATCTCCAGAGCCCGAGACGATATCTGAGAGCGATTACGACTCAGACAGCTCAGTGGAATTCCTAGGAATCGACGAGTACATCCCGCCGCCATCACCGCGCAAGATTTTACCATTGCGTCGCCGTCGTTTGGCACTGGCTCTGGGACCGGCTCCAGCTCCCAGCTTTACTCCCGAGGCTCCTCCTCGATCGCCATCATCAGAGTCCGAGGCCTTATCGGAAATCGATAAAGACTCGGACGAGGAGGCAATGTCTGAGGACGAGTTCCCTAAACCTCGAAAAGTACTACCGCTGCGTCGGCGTAGAGTAGGAGACGAGCAGACGCAACGCGCACAGGCAGAAGAGCACGAACTCCGCAAGAAGCAGCTCCAGGAGGAACAGGACAAGTTGGACAAGATCGCCGCGCGATTCCGGCCGCCGCCATCACTTCCCCATGTGCCAGATCAACCCATCATGCCTACTTCCTTCTTGGGAGTCGCTCTCTCGCCTGCGCCCGCCGTCGCCAGTCCTACGTTACTGGCCGTCGCTCCGTCTCTCACTGCACTGCTCGTCGTGGTGATTGGATCACCGCAGGTCGAGGACGAGTTGAAGAAGGCCTTGGAACCGTTGTGGGACCTTGTCGATGCTAGCCAGATCAAGAAGTACGGTGTCAAAAGTCTGACGATGCTGGCGATGAAGAAATGGGGCGAGCTCATGGAAGACCAGCGATACGGCAAGGGACATACCATCTTCCGCAGCATATTCGACGATCTCGTGGAGAAGTGGGCCGATAAGGTCGTGACGGAAACTTTTGTCGACCACCTCATCGTGCTGAACGACTCTGAGTCGCAAGATGATATCATGGGCCCATGGCTCGAGAAGATCAGAGAAGCTCGGAAGAACTGAACTCTCTTGAGACGATACCAACAGAATCAGAAGAAAAAGAAAGAAAAGACCAAAAAAAAGTCCCAAAATCACAAAACCTGGAAAAAAAAAACCAAACCCACCCACCTGTACTAAAACCATATGACACCAGATAGACTGGAAGACAGAGAGCCACTGACGCGATGTTTGACTACCGAAGTACGAAGAGTTTTAATATTTTGTTCGAATTACCTGTTTTTCACCTTTGTCCAGCCATTTGTACCACCACCACCACCACCACCGACAGCGCGATTCGCCTGGCCTTCACCATCATCAATAGCCCAAGCATCATCCTCGAGAACCTCCCACTCCGGAACAGCAACTTCACTGACAAGCTTCTTCTTGAGCCGATCAGCAAGCTTCATGGGGCTGGGGAGCTTGAAACCACGAATGAACTCGGATCCCTCCGCGCTGCCAAGGAAAGCATGAGCTGTGCCATGGGAGTATCTACCCATCCACGAGGGAGCTTTGCCGAGCTCTTCCTGATCAAGCGCATCGTGCTTCGCTCCGGGTGACGAAGTCGCAGGTGGATAGAGGCGACCAGTCTGGGTGCTATGGAGCTGTTGTCCAATGAGCAGGTTGTACAGGTTGCGACCCATATGACACACATCCTCGAACGAGTTCCGATCTCCGACAAAGACGCCCTGAGTGCTGCAGGCCCAAGCGATATCGTAGGCGAGCAATGTCACGCCCTCCAAGAATAAGGAATGGGCAGCGGGGTCTTCCTTGGCCAGTACGGGCAAAGCCTTATCGACGAAGAGTGGCCGCGGGCGAGGCATGTAGTGCGGCTGGCTCTCGCGCTCCTCTGCGGAAAAGCTGGTGACGGGCGAAGTTCCAGGAAACGGTACTTCACCATGCTGATACGACCAGGACAGATTAAAAATGGTCGGGCGCGGATAGTCTCGATGCGGCAGTGTTATCTCTGCAGGGAGCCTGATTGAGAGGTAATGAGATGTCAAGGCCAGGATATGGGCGATGTTGGCGAGAGAGGTGGACAAGAGTTCAGGCGATATAGCTGTCAAGGTCAGTTTGAGTGTCATCTGGTAACTTTGGAGTGCGATACTAACCATTCATAGACGAGAGATCGACGATGTCAACACCCCCGATCTTGTACTCATACCGAGCGGATGATCCCTTCTTGATGCGACGAAGTCCATACAGCTTGGCGGCCTCCATGCACAGGAAAGATCGAGTCGAAGACATCTGGTCGGCACTTCG